TTTTATAAAATGTAAAACTAAAAGAGAATATAAGAAATAATCAGAATCTATTATTAAATTTTTACTAGTGTGGATTGTCCGTTGCACGATAACCGTTATAATTTTTGTAATTCCACAATTGAATAATGGCAAAAATAACATTAAATTGTTTCAAGTAATCAATATTCAAGCACCCTTTAAATTACACCATTTATTTAATATTTAATATTCAAATATATATTAATACTACATTTTTTTCAACCAATTTTACCATAACAAATATAACAAAACAAAGAGTAATAAAATGAAATATTATAGTACGATTCTCACCATATTGTTTTCTAGTTTTGACTTTTTTTTTTCTTTCTGTTGTTCAGTGCATGTATTTTATGTTAAATTATTAATCTTTCGTGCTCGCTTACCACGAAATTCAGTTACCACTGAACTCCCTGAACCTTTACCTTTAAAATAAGAACAAATATTAGAAATAAAAATAAAAACGTAAATCAAAAGAATATAATTTATAATTGATACAACTCAACTTGTAACATAAAATTAAAAGAAAAAAATTACAGGTGAATCAACAGAATCAATAAAGTATAGATATTGATGCTAACCAGCAGAAGTGGTTGGAATGTAGGTAATCTCATAATTCAAGAAAAAGATCATACTTCGATCGGATGATCTAACCTATTGCCCACAATTTTGCGAATGAATATTTTCTTCCATAAACTCATTGCAACTACTTTATACAAAGAGCATATTTATCTCATTAATAAACAATGTGTTTAAAATAATGTTTCACTACGATAAAATCAATTTCTGGATGAAATATGTAATCCTTTAACTTTTTGTTCATGTTCAAATTTTGAAGGTCGAACTTTATGTCTCATTTCTGATTGAGAATTACAACATTGCAATGAACAAACTCAATTTTTGTCAATCACGCCTTATCTAAGCAAAATACAGGACTAACAGTGCCTTCATAGAAATTCACAAGAATTAAAAATAACAACAAACTTTAAAAGAAATAGAGACTTTCAATAGATACAGTGTACCTTATCCACATTTGGTAGATATTCAAAGGATTTTATAAATAATTTTACCCATTCACTACAAGTAAACCCGAAATAGCCTCTACCCGCTACTTTTTCCAACTCGTACTTGGTATAGAAATTATTCGGAAAACCAAATTTCTTTGTTACAAGTGACTCAATGTTCTCCGTCGGAGTTGACATTGAAAATTTCGCTTTTTCAAGCGATGTTTTACTTCAAAAAGAGAGTTTAAGAAAGTAAGGGAAGACAAAAAAAAAAAAAAATTCAAAAAAGTAAATTAAAGGTGAAATTTTAATATGTCAAATCCTCAAATATCAAGAACCCTACTATTATTTACTATTTCAATTCCCTGAAAAGATGGGAATAGGAAACCATTGATTAAAACTTGCTAAAAATGAAAACTATATAGCATTGCAACACCTTCTTTTGATGCAACCAGATTCCATAATTTTAGTTTCTATCCAGTAGCTAATTCATACATAGAAAAAGCAACAGATATATTTTGCTCCAATTAGAAGGTCAACCCATCCATAAAGTATGAAAGATCACTGATGTAATGCAAGTAAAACTTTAGTATTGAAGTAGATAAAATGTGTTTTGTTGTTGATTTCTTGTAAAGCAATTAGAAATAACTTAATATAATGTGATGTTAAATAATAAAATTATTCAGAACGAAATTATACCTTTGAAAAGCCCTGTAATGCAAAGTAGAGCTGTAGCCAAAAGAAGAAAACAGTCAGCAGAATGAAATGTTCTAAAACCCAGAAAATAAGAAATTCATCAACAGTGATGAGAAAATCAACGAAGCAGGATCAGATATTAAGATCGCGGAATAAACTTCCAACAAATGTAACTACAATAAGTCGGTAATTATTGAAATGATGAAGAACACTTAATTATTTGTATTGATCCAGAATGATGGACAACCACAGGTCGACACTTTCTGATTTTCCCCTTAGAGTCACTATATTATTTATACGGATTTATAGATATATTGAGACCTCAACATATTTTCACATACTATCAATAAATCATTATTTTCCAATTTTTGCTTTTCTTTCCTTTGTTTTATCAAGAATTTATTAGACAACTTCTCTTAAAAGCTCTCAAACCAAAATGGCACAATCCCTAACATATTGGGCAAGTTATACTATCTTTGAACTTTATGTTATATAATATTATTTATTTTTGAATTTTTTTTCTTGAGCTTTCATTCTTGCTTATTGAATTGAAACTTTGCTCTTCAGAAATAGTAGACAGATGGGCCTCGGTGTTTTTTAGGGGACCAAACACAGGGTGACATTATTTTCGTCTTCTCTCATATTTTTCTTTTCATTTTCAAGCTCTTCGTTTTTCTGATTATCTACTAGGGTCCCAAAGTTCATTTTTTTGGGCTCCTTTAATCATTATCCAGTTATCCTCACATATTCCCACAAAAAAAATCATGTATTTGGAAGGGTATTGAAAATGTAAATCCATTAAAGGTTGGTAATTTAGAGTGTCCTTTCCATGCAATATTGAGTAATATTCTGCAATCTCATCGTCCACTAATGGATTATTTTACTTCTCTATGCAGCCTCCAATCTAGATTGCTGACTTTTGAAAAGAGCATAACAATTTTTACAACACTATTTTTCTTCACAAAACTTACAGATCTAGGCAATACATCTATACATAAACATAAACTTCTACTGATTCACAAATGTAAAATTTTTGTTTCTCATCACAAATGAGAGAAATACAGAAATAAAAATCAAAGTTCTTAACAAACGGTTCTCACTAAAAAAATTGTCGTCATACATATAATAATTATAATAAAAAAGAGAGAAAAAGTTATATTACTAAGAGATATAGATAAACGTATGTCTTATATGAGGGAGAAAAGAGATCGAGAGAAAGCAAAAAATAATGTTCGCTTTCTGCTGTAGAGAGAGGGACAGAGTATCCGTGATAGATAAGGAAATGCAAATACAAATGAAAATGATGTTCAAATTTACGTGAAATAAAATGTAAATAGATAAAATGTAAATGTAAATGAAAATGACGTTAAAATTTACGTTAAATGAAGTAATAATGTTCAAATTTACGTGAAATAAAATGTAAATAGATGAAATGTAAATGAAAATGACACTAAATAATTCATTTCATATACATATATATGTCATTAGCATGAGATAAGGATGATGCCTTATTAATAGTAATCAACTCTCTTCTTTTATATATTGTAATGATTTACAAGTTAATTTTGAACAAAATATGTTGGTTGAAAATAATTATTTTATGAAAGGTAAAATTAAAAGAGAATATGAGAAATATTCAAAATTCACCGATTTGATTGATTGAAAGAAATGGCCAAAATATTAATTTTGGGTGATTTTTAAACTATTTTAAATTGTGGCCTAAAAAAATTAGCAAACCTTGTTTTGGCATCGTTGATGAGAACAGTACTAGATAAAAAAATATATATATATTATTCAATTATTCAAACAATCCATTGCATTGGAGATGATCTGACTGTTCACGTTTTCTCAGAGAATTGAACCAACCAAGTTACACGTGCGTTACAGCGGGCAAACTGGACTCCTGTGATGGTGAGAAAGAACCATTTTCTCCCCCACCTATAACATGAGGCCAGGTACAGCGATCATGTGGCTCTTGTACCATTTTCAAACCAATTTTGGCATGGTTGGTGAGAACAGTACAAGATACTTGGAATGCTCGTTAATCCAAAGAGTAATACTATTTGTGATCATGAAGATGAAATATCGATGATATAATAATTTATTATCACTCACGTTTCTCTCATTCGCCTCTCATTTTTCTTGTAAAATTGAACCGCTCAATTTCATTCTACATTGACGTCACATTATTTATGTTCTATCATCACAATAATAAATAAAATTATTCTAACTCAAAACTTGAATTTGAGGCCCCAATGAGGTGGCAATCGAGCCGAGCGGCTCGTCAAAAAAGAGCCACAACAGCCATTTGACGAACTCGAGCTGAGCCTGCTCAACTTGTTTTTTGACGAGTGGCTCGTGGGTTTTTTTAATTTTTTTTTTTAAAACAAGTATAGCTAAAAAAAATTAAAAATTAAAAAATCCGAACTCGTGAGCCGAAGCTCAACTCACCCACGAGCCACGAGTAACGAGCGGGCGCTCGTGCCGTGTACGGGCGTGATATCTTCTTATATATTAAAAGTGGCTATGTAACGGAATTTCTTGTTTTTAACGGAAAAACTAACGGAATTTGTTGTTTTAACGGATTATGTAACGGAATTTCTTGTTTTAAACAGGCAGCTGCACCTTCCTTCAGTATGTTTATCATAACTTCGTATTCCGATATCCGATTGAGGCGNTCTCCAATTCGATCACTTTCTATGCCAAAAATAGGTCTCAATATGAGACTAAAATATCGAAGCATAACTTTTCGGATGGAAATTGATTTGTGATCATCTTTTGACTAAATTTGATTCCATTGACGTCTTCCTTTGTCCGATTGACTTCGACCATTCTCAAATCTTCATCGCGAGGTTCGGCACAACTTTTAAGTATTTGCATTTTAGTCCCGAACTTTGGATCCCTTACAACTTAGCCATTTCTCCAAATTTGTCAACTTTTGCTTATTTTCTTCGATCTCACAACTTACATCACAACATCAAAATCACACGTCTAATTATTTATCAATTACATAAACATTACATCATTAATTATTTAATAACCAAAAAATTACATATTTATTAATAACAAATTAATTTTTAAACAAAACTATTAAATATTAAATATAAACTAAGGTGCACGTTGCTTGGTCCGCAGGAAAAAAAAAAAGTTTCAAAGCTACAAATCATCACCGGTTCAAGATTTGCGTACCGGATAATATCTTGTTCAGCAGCAAGATCACCAGTCTACAACGGCACTTGGACATTCGCGTTATTTCTATAATTTTTTGAGTGTGAGAATTCCAGTATGGCAATTGACCCAGAGAAAGAAGGGTTCTTGAGGGAGTTTGGTGAAGATTATGGCTATCCAAATGCACCCAAAAACATTGATGAGCTCAGAGCCACCGATTTTAGACGCTTGGATGGTTAGGGTTCTATGATTCCATCGCTTAGTTGCTTTATCTAATATGGAAATTAAAAAAAGATTCTTGTTTTAAATAGGATATTATACTATATGGTATTTGAATATCTGTTTTTATAATTGAAACATCATGTTTGGCGACTGTTTAGATGTTGCGTACTTGGATCATGCTGGAGCAACTCTGTATTCTGAGTCACAAATGGAAGCCATTTTCAAGGATTTTAATTCGACTATATATGGAAATCCCCGTATCCTTCAATTTTTCATTTTTATCATTGAATTGCTTGATATTATTAAAAATGGATTTCTTAATTACATAAAAAACATATAGATAGCCAAAGCGACTGCAGTGTGACAACAAGTAATATTGTTGACGAAGCTCGTAGACAGGTCAGTCATTATCATCAGCTTTCTCTTCTGATCATATAAGACCATTTACTGAATGGAAATTTTACTTAATATATCTATTCTTAAGAGTAACTTATGAAGTTCAAAAAACATAATTGAGAATTGATTATGATTGTGGTGTAGGTCCTTAATTTCTTTAATGCATCTCCTAGAGAATATAAATGCATATTTACCTCTGGGGCTACAGCTGCATTGAAACTTGTTGGAGAGACCTTTCCATGGAGTAGTCAGAGTACTTTTATGTATACCATGGAGAATCACAACAGTGTCCTTGGAATCAGAGAGTATCCTTCCTATCGATAACCATTGTTTCTTGACCCTGAAAAAAAGTATAAGATGTTTTGTAGAACCTTGACCATTTAATTAAAAAGTGATATAGAATGTTGATATCGTGGAATGCTTGCATTTCTCCAAAGAAGAAAGTGATTATCAGTTCTGATTCTCCAGCACTGTTTTGTTAATTAGGTTTTTTTGCTTCTAGTGTTTCTCGAATCTTTTTTCCCTTAATATTCTTTAGATATGCACTCAATGGAGGAGCTGCAGCTTTCTCAGTGGATGTTGAGGAGGTTTTAGATCTTGATCAACCCGACAGTGGTAAATTGGCAATTAGGATTATTCCACACCAAGAGCAGAGGAGAAGCAAACCCAGATTCCTTATAAAAGAGGCCACTGGTTAAGTTATCTAGCACATTTTTCTCCAGAAAATCTTGTTAAGAATTTGTTGCACAATTTTGTGGCCCATCTATTCAACCTAGCACCATTTCACCTAATGTTTTTGTTTTGAGTATATTATGCCAAAGTCAAGATAGTAGCATTTGCATGGCAAGTGAATCGTTGCAACTCAAAATGGATATAAACCTTGTATAAAAGCTTCTTACTAACCAATTGTTTGAAGTGAGCCCCCTTTTTCTCCAACTTAGTGAAATTGATCTTTTTATCAAAATAAACTTGCATGCATTAGGAAAGTTAATATTATTTGTTGTGGAGGTTTAAAAACAAATCATGTGCTTGTTCTTGTTTCTTGGGAACCTATCTCTTGAGGGTAAAGCAGATGTATTTTATCGTTGAAATCAATAGTGCTTCTGAACATATCATATTTATTTTTACTTGTTTCCAATTACAGGTGATACATACAACTTATTTGCATTTCCCTCAGAATGCAACTTTTCAGGTCTGAAGTTTAATCTTGACCTGGTAAATTTCATGAAGGAAGATTCGTATGAAATGTTTGAGTCCTCTCCACATCACAGGTATTCAAGTTATGTTTCTAGCTTCTCAACATAAAGAAATTATTATTCCCTTACACTGATTTTCAAGGCTAGCCGAATATCCTATGGATTAGTTGTTTAAGGAGTTGGCATTGACTTCCTCTATTTTTCAGTCCCTTTAATAAATATTTGGATTTCATTTAATTTTAATTTTTAATTTTTGCTATTCTTTTCTTTCCAGCATGATGCAGGAGTGTGAGTCTTTCAGAGGGGATTGTACTTTTTGAAAATATTGTTTTGTGCTCTTGTAGGTTGAGCGACACATGAGCTTATTAATTTGACAATGAACAATTGAAGAACAAGAAAGAAAGGGGGTAAAAGAAGAGAAGAATTTAGGGCAAAGAGGAAATTCAATTTATTATATATTTAAGAGTATCTAATACGATGAATAAGCCCTCCATTTATAAAGCAAAGAAACTAAAAAGAAGCTAAAATCAAACGAATTTCTACTAAACTAGGACTTTATTAAAATAGTAAATCTAATCTAATTTAAACTTTATTTTAAAATATTATCTAAACCATATCTCTATTCTACTCTGTGAAGAGTGTTATGCGCTCTCTGTATGTTGATTCAAAGAGGGATTTTACTTTGGTAAAAGATTTTGGTTGACTGGAAACATTATGTACATTTTTGTCAGCTTGTTTGTTAATTGATGGTGAAAGAGGATCTAGGTACTAACGAGAGAGGAGAGTTAAGGAAGATAAGAAAGTAGCCAGGAATTGCTACATTTTAGATTTTTAACTAAAGTGTTTTTGATTGTTATTTTGCTAGTGTGCCTTTTTGCAATGAAATATATATTACTCCAATAAGATTTCCTGAAATATGTCCTGGCTTAATATCTGTAAACAGAGGGAACTGGATGGTTCTTATTGATGCTGCAAAAGGAAGTACAACAGCACCACCAGATTTGTCTAAATACAAGGCAGACTTTGTTGTGGTGTCATTTTATAAGGTACTTGCATAAGATCTCCGTAGCTGTACAAATCAATTGTATATATATTGCTAATTATGCTGTGAAGGGCTAAGTTGATCCTTGTTATCTTTTATTTTTGCCAGCTATTTGGTTACCCAACTGGACTTGGAGCTCTTATTGTCCGAAATGGTAAGCAGTTGAATTCAGAGGTGGGATTTTTTCTCTAGTTTTATTATGTTCTACACTCTGATCTTTTCCTTTTCCCCATGGCTCCCATTTTTCCTTGAAAAGTTTTGGGGGTGCATGTTTTTGAGTAAACTGGCCAAAAAAGAAGAATTTAACTTCCCCTTCAAAGAAAATTTTACGATTTCCGTTTGATATAAGTATTAATTGATCACATTATAGTTGAAATTTACATTTCTGTTTCCAAGAAACACACACTAACAGCTCTCTCCCTCCAAAAAAATGCAACAGAAGCTGCCAAGTTAATGACGAAGACCTATTTTAGTGGAGGTTTGTTCTTGGACCTATTCTCCCTGTTATTTTTACATTTGACAGGAATACTTCTCTTACACGAGATCTGAATTGTTTCAGGGACAGTAGCTGCATCAATTGCAGACGTTGACTTTTTCAAGAGAAGAGAGGCCGTTGAGGAATATTTTGAGGATGGAACCATATCATTCCTGAGTATAGCATCACTTCACCATGGATTCAAAATCCTCAATGCATTAACCATGCCTGCAATATCTCGGTATAACAAAACTCTGCAGCATCTGCAATAACACTAGCACACAAGCACACTCATGAGTGTTATTGACTTCTAATTTCAGGCTTTACGTATAGATTCTGGTTATGTATCAGATGATTTAGCAGTAAACCTCATCTCAAGATAAACACTAATGATGCTTTTTAAAAAAATTCTTCTTCTATCTAAACTTTTTAATCAATTTTATTTCTTGTCTGTGTCTAACATATCTCAATAATATAGCATTAGTAAAAGATTCAATGTTCGATATATTTTCACCTCTGATTTTCGTTTTTTGTTCTACTTGTTCTTAACTTATCTGATTTTAGTCATTATATTAGCTGTCCTGGAAGTTGTAAATATTTTCTATGATCCATTATTTTCTAGCTTATGATTATGAGACAAGGTCGTGGTTTCTTCATATAGAGATGTCCTAATAATTAGTTTTTGAAACTCTCTACAAGCTAACCTTGGAGCTTGCAGTACTTATCCTTCTTAGTTTCTTCACAAGTAGATCAAAATTAGCATGCATTAGGGTAATAGTTATTAAATGAATTCTTCAGTGAATGTTCCTCGAACACAGCCCATTTATATTGTCCTTGAAATATCTTTTCTTCTCCTTGGATTGAAATTTAAACTTAAATGGATGACTTATTCTAAATAAGAGTCAATATTTTGAAGGCACACATCATCACTTGCTACTTATGTGAGGAACAAGCTCTTGGATCTGAGGCATGCAAATGGCCATCATGTTTGCACACTTTATGGCTTAAGAAATCCAGAGGTTAGTATACTTGATCTTCTTCTAATTTGTTTGAGGAGTGGACGGTAAAACTGTAATTAAACGCAGATCTGTGACTAGTAAAAGATTTGCTAAATTGCAATTACATATTGGTGGTGACATATTGTTCAGTGCTTTCTGTTGCAATGAGCAATTTCAAAAAGAAAACTTGCCCTCCTTTTGCAATTTTCTTACATTAGTTACTTAAAGATCGAGAAATTAATGAACATTTGAACTCTACAGCTTATTATTTACTAGTACATTGTGATCTTGCAGACGAGCATGTCTGTCACTTTTGTTTACTTTGGAATCCAAACACTATCTGAATAGATTTTGAGTTTCCTCATCAGGTATTATGCAATCAAATGGGTCCTATAGTTTCATTTAACTTGAGAAGGCCAGACGGTTCCTGGTTTGGCTATCGGGAGGTGGAAAAACTAGCATCCTTATCGGGTGTTCAATTACGGGTAAGAGTTTAGACCATAGGTACAGGAAATTTGTATTGTTTTCTCTCTTCACTTTTCTCAGGGATTTCCAAGACACCATTCCTTAGATGGATTGTTATGTGCTTTCTTAATGGGAGAAATGGCTAGTGGATGCCCTTTGATGCTTTCTAGAATGTTTAAACTTTGCTGAGAACTATTGCATTTTTTTTCTGGATGCAATTGGTCTCTCTTAATTTTTCTCATTTTTGTCCACAATATATTAAAATTTTGAATAACCACATATTTGTAAATGATTTTTAGTATTAAGGTCCTCATCTTAGCAGCTAACTTTTCAAATTTTGGATTCTGTGATTTCATCCTCGTAAAAGATTCAAAGGATTACCACTTAAGGAGGTGCAACCCAGAAGGCAATATCACTGTGCTTCATTTCTGGAATTCCTTGTGCATTCCTCTGTACATCTTCGTATAGGTTCAAGGACTATCTTGAGCAATTTTCACTACCGAGAAAAATGTGTCAGTCTTATTCCGGCTATGTGAACAGCTAAGGCCAATTAGCAATAACCTGAATCATGCTTGTATTATAATGTTAGTTATGCACATACGACAGTAAAATTGTATTTTCTTGTCATCACTCAGTGGAAAAGATATATGCAAATTTTTTTTTTTTCCATGTGTTAACAATTATTTTCATCTTTTGAGCTTTGTGTATGTGCTAAGATTTGACTATCAGGAGACTGATCTAATTTGTCTAGTTTATAATGTTTTAGAGGTTTCTGATGTATTTCTTTTCCTTTTCTTTCCAATCTTTGCTCGTAGACAGGATGCTTTTGTAATCCTGGTGCATGTGCAAAATACCTTGGTTTATCTCATTTGGATCTTCTCTCCAATGTTGAGGTAAATCCGGATTTTTTACTGATTATGATAACAGAGAGCATCTAATTCATGCCCAGCTGTCTATTGCATAATTTGTATCATTTAGGCAGGTCATGTTTGCTGGGATGATCGTGATATAATGAACGGAAAACCAACTGGAGCTGTTAGAGTGTCATTCGGTTACATGTCAACATTTGGAGATGCAAGGGTATTCCTTTATGCGTCTAAAGATGCAGTTACTTTTTGATGTCAAATTCTTTTCTAAATGTTTACCTTTCTTAAGCTTATTGAAGGAGATTTGCACTGTATGATATTGCTGGCACAGAGGTTTTTGTTTTAACATTAGAAATCACTATAGCACTACCTTTTCGTCCAATTCTTTTTTTATCTGTCATTTCACTCGTTATTACCTGAATACAAGTCAACACAATAACTTTGTCTTAATTTTTTTTTTGGCGAAAAAGCTACTGTTTTCTTCTCTGTTGTAACATACAACTATGATAAATTCTTCTCCAGATATCTTACTAGCAGACTTTCTGGGAATCGGGTTCCATTGTGAACATTTGGTGAAACTAATTGATTGAAAAGGATGTTTTTGATTATTTGATGGTATTATTTTTATCAGCATGGTTATAGAATGATAAATATTGAAAAATATGGATTTGTTTTTTGCAGAAATTTTTGAGGTTTATTGAGAATGGATTTGTGGTGTTGCCACCTGTAGCAAGGGCTATCCATCCTGTAACTGAAGGTTATTTTTCAAGCTCTTAAGTTTTGCTCTTCTGTTAATTCTGGTACATTTATTTTGGTTCTAAGATTTTTAATTAATTTATTTTTTTTGGGGTAATGATATATTGAGTTAATAATAGTATCTGTCTGAAAGGAGATATGTTCTCTTCAAATAACTTCTGACTATTTTGCTTAGCATCTTTCCATTTTTTATTGCAGGTGCTGATAGAGCTATTGCGAGATACTTTCTTAAATCTATTACTATTTATCCAATAAAATCATGTGCAGGATTCAGTGTGGAGAGTTGGCCTCTTTCTCGTACTGGTAACATTTGTAAACTGCATTACCTAATACCTATTTACTTCCTCCATTTGGATCAATAACAAGTTCACAACATTCTGCTCCTCATGGGCTCATAACAATCTCATATTCCTGCATTTAGGCTCAGTAGGACATGTTTACCTGGAACCCACAAGGCAAGAGCTGTGCTCTATTGGTGTCGTTTTAGTAAATTTCTCGGTTACAAAAAAGAAACCTTAATCAATCACTGTAAGATCCACTGCACGTGTGGCTTCTTTACTGGTCAAGGATTAGGGTCGGGCTATCTTTACCAGGATCCCACAAGGCACGAGCTGCGCTCTTGATGTCATTTTTAGTAAAACCTAGTTGATTATTATCAATTCACTGCCCTTGTGGCATCTTTGCTGGTCCAAGATCAGGGTCAAGACATGATTTCAGGAATGAGCTGTGCTCTATTGATATTGTTTGGGTAAAATTCTCACTCATAAAAAAGAAACCCTTAATTGATCACTATCGGTCCACTGTGGTATCTTTGCTGGTCACTGATCATGGTCGGACATATTTGTTCATTTGTCATATTTTATGCTCACTCGACCTTTTATTTATACTATCAACCTCCTTGCATAGTTCTGTCAACATGTGCAGGGTTCTATCTTCATTATAAACTGAAGTATTTGTTTATCAGACTCACTTAACCACGTGTTTCATGGAAGTCTCATTTCCTGTATTGTTTCTTCTTCAAATTTCAGGATTGCTACATGATAGAGAATGGCTTCTCAAGAGCTTAGATGGGGAAATTCTTACTCAAAAGAAGGTGAATTTTTGCGCACATATGAAGTGGTGTATTTGATCCAGACATGTTCTTTATTCCATCATATGATTTAGTTTAGGTAGCAGCCCAATTGAAAAGTAAATTTTGCAAGCTTCTTTGTCTGAAAATCTGCATATGGATCGTCTGATCATTTGTGAAGGCCATACCTCCTTACTGTTTCCACTTTCCAGTCTTTCAAATGAACAATAGCTGTTATAACTTTCAGATGTTCTGAACATGGATCTCATGTCATTAATACTAATGAGCTGTCTTACGTAGAAGTTATGAGAGAAAGGGGTACTGTTGCGATTTTCAGGTGACTGAAACTTCATGCATTCAAATTTTGGGTTTTATTCAAGTAAGACCATTGTCTTCACTTTAGTTTGTCTCACTACATGTGTGGTACACGTGACCTGTCAAAGAATGAGAAACAATTAAGGAAAATCACCATCTTTTGTACTATAAATTGAGCCATGGTATTGTAAGAAAATCATTGAGAAATATACAATTAATTGTTTCTCATTCTTTGTCTTTGTGGTATCAGAGGCAAGTTAGTTTAAAACTCGGCAGTCAGTGGAGGAAAATACCACCACCTCCGAGTCAATAATCGGCGAAAGAGAAATTACTCCCACCATGTGTTCGATTGGAATCGACAATTCCTCCTTTCAACTCATGGTGAGAAAACTAGATGGATGAAATTATAGAGAGTGGACTCAGTCAATCAAGCAGGTGGTTGACGAAAAAGGTAAAATTGGATACCTCATCGGCTACACCAAGCAGCCCACAGATGCAAAACTTCAAGCAAGATGGAAATCTGAAAACTCCATGGTGATGGGATGGCTGGTGAATTCAATGAAGCCCTCTATAGGTAAAACGTACTTGTTTATGCCGACTGCAAAAGACAAATAGAAAGCAGTCAAAGAGATGTACTCCGATGCTGAGGATTCATCCCAAATTTTCGAGATTAAAACTAAATTGTGGCAAACGAGAAAGGGGGAAAGGAGTGTTACCAACTATTACATGGAGATGAAGACTCTTTTGGCAAGAATTGGATCTCAGCATCGAAGAGGAGTGGAATTGCCCAGGCGATAGCATTCGATACAAGAAGCGATTGGAGAATGAATTAGTATTTGAATTCTTGGCAGGGCTAAATAGAGACTTGGACGACGTGAGAGGCCGGATTCTTGGCCATCGACCATTGCCGTCCACCCGTGATGTGAATGAGTATTTGAATGCAGGGTTAAATAGAGATTTGGACGATGTGAGAGGCCGGATTCTTGGCCGTCGACTGTTGTCGTCCACCGGTGAAGTCTTCGTAGAGGTTTGTTGCGAAGAAAGCAGACGCCGGATAATGGTTAAGGAAGAAATTGGGCCCGGAGGTGTTGAAGGATCGGTCCTTGTCACCAATTCAAGTGGGCTTGTCGGTTTAATTGGAAGTGGGCCGGATTGTAGGGTTTTTAATAAGTCCAAATATGTTGGACCGAATGGGTCAACCCAATTATTTAAAGGAGTAACAAAAAATGGGCCAGGTACAAAACAACAAAAGGGGCGTCCATGGTGTGATTGCCGTCGGAAGCCTGGACATAAGGAAGATACGTGTTTTGGATTTGCACGGTAAACCAACATATTGGAAACCTAGACAAAACATTGGGAATCATGGCTACCAAGCTGCAGTAGATTCCACTAAAATAAAAAATCACACTCTGAACAGTGCATTCAACTCCGAACAATTAGAACAACTCTACAAAATGTTCTCCAGCTTCCAGACATCTAGCCCGCCAAGTTTATTAGCCCATAAAGGTAATTTCCTAAGAGCTCTAAATGTTATCGCACTCTCTAAAGTACCATGGATTATTCATTCAGGTGCTTTCAATCATATGACGGACTCTTACAATCTGTTTGTTACATGCTCGCCTTGTGCCAGCAATCTTAAAGTAAAAAATGCAGACGACTCACTATTTTCCATAGCTGGAAAATGGAGTATTCAAATCTCTAATTCTATAACACTCGAACACGTTCTTCATGTTCCAAACTTGTTCTGCAATTTATTGTCCGTTAGCCAATTAACTAAAGTTCAAATTGTTCCGCTATTTTTTTCCCTCATTGTCTTTCAACACCTATCATCGGGGAAGACGATTGACAATGTTAAAAGAGTATGAGGGACTCTACTACTATGACGAGATTGGCGTGAGTAATCTATGTCAATTTGCTAGTTGTGATTTTGCATTTGGCACTTTTATGGCATTATAGAATGGGTTACCCCAACTTTCAGTAGTTATGACATGTAATTCTTTCAGTATTTTCGAATAAAATATCTTTTGATTTTCAATGTGAAATATGTGAACTCGCAAAACATGACTATTCATCGTTTCCCAAAATCAACATACAAATCGTAGAAACCATTTACCATAATTCACAGCAACTTATGGGGACTCTCACGAACTCCTAATCGCACCCACACAAAATGGTTTGTTACGTTTATTGATGATCATACCCGAATTTGTTGGGTCTATATGCTGAAAGAAAAAACTAATGTCCGTTCAGTGTTTATCAACTTCCACTTAATGATCTAACCCAATTTCAAACACATTCAAATTCTGCGCATGGATAATGACACAGAATATTTCAACAATACCCTTAAAGTCTACCTTTAAAAAAATGGGATCATTCACCAAAGTTTGTGTTGATACTCCCCAACAAAATAGAGTTGCTGAACGAAAAAATACACCTTCTTAAGGTTGCTCGTGCCCTAATGTTCACTACAACTATGTCGAAAACATTCTGGGGAGATGTCGTCTTAACCTCAGCTTACCTCGTAAACAGAATGCCTAGTCGCACCCTCAATTTCAAAACTCCTCTCTAGAAATTCCAGAAATCTTTTCCTAACTCTTATCTTCACTCAAGTTTACCTCTAAAATTGTTTGGATGCACCGCCTTTGTTCACATTCATTTCTATCACCGAAATAAGCTCGAACCCAGTGCACTCAAGTGTGTCTTCATTGGATACTCACCCACACAAAAGGGTATAAATGCTACGATCCAATCATAAAGAGGGTATTTGTTAGCCTTGACGTTACCTTCTTAGAGAAAAGTCATTATTTCCAAAAATCCTCTCTTCCGAGAAGAGAAAGAATTTAAGCGAAGAGCAATTCTCCATCTAAATCTATCCCAAACACTGAACATATAACACCATCCCAATCTAACATGCCATCTATAGAAGACAACTTGAACTCGGGGGAAAATCAGAAAGAACAACATGACAAAGTGATAATAGTTTACTCAAGAAAGTCAAAATCAAAGGCTAAGGAAGACCTCATACTCGAAGTACCAAGAGAGTCAGAACAATTGATAGCTTTAAATCTCTGTGAGACCCCTCTCGATGCCAAAATCAAAGTCGAAGGAAGACCTCATTCTTGAAACACCAAGAGAGTCGGAACTAGTGATAGCTCCAAATCTCCATGAGACCTCTCTTGACTCATTCAATATTAATCTACTTATTGCTCTCAGGAAACAAACTTGGTTGTGTACTCTTCATCCTATATCAAAATTTATAGCTTATAATGCTCTTTCTCCTGGATTTCAAACTTTTATTTCTAACCTTGATAGTACAGAAGTTTCGAGAAATATCCAGGAAGCCCAGGATTCTCCCAAGTGGAGAGAAGCACCAATGGAAGAAATGAGATCCTTGGAGACAAATGAAACTTGAGATGTGATGGAGCTGCCAAAAGGAAAGAGACTTGTTGGGTGTAAATTGGTGTTCAATGTAAAACATAAAGCAGATGGGACAATATGGTACAAAACTCGTCTGGTTGTAAAGGGATATACTCAGACCTATGTTTTAGATTACACAGAAAACATTTGAACCTGTAGCAAAATTGAATACGATTAAGGTTCTCTTATCATTAGCAGTTAATCTGGATTGGCTACTTCAACTTGATATTAAGAATTCATTCCTAAATGGGGAGTTACAAGAAGAAGTCTTCATGATACTACGACCAGGCTTTTGTAAGGGAAAGGAAGATAACAAGGTATGCAAACTAAAGAAGTCCCTGTACGGTCTTAAACAATCACCAAGAAGTCTTCATGATACTACCACCAGACTTTTGTAAAGGAAAGGAAGATAACAAGGTATGCAAACTAAAAGCCCATGTACGGTCTTAAACAATCACCAAGAGTATGGTTTGATAGATTTTGTAAAAGTGCTGAAAAGTTAGGGATATCGACAAGGGCAGTCAGACCACACCACATTCTTCAGAATGTTTAAAGATCGGACAAAGTCCATTCTAATCGTATATGTTGATGCATAATCCTATTGGAGATAATATAGTCGAGATAGACTGAAAATGAGTCTAGCCACAGAATTTAAAGTTAAATGCCAGGGGAAAATGTGGTATTTTCTGGGAATGGAACTAGCCAGATCGAGAAATGGTATCAGTGTTTCGCAATGAAAATATGTCCTGGACCTCCTAGCTAAAACTGGTATGCTTGCGGTGCAAACTAAGTGACATTCCTCTAGATGCTGGAAGAAAGACAGACAACCTTGGAGAATCTGTTAACAAGGACAGATATCGGCGATTGCATTTGTGGTTAGTGTGGTAAGCCAACACATGAATTCTCCAAAGGAAGCTCATCTAGAAATAAGATACAAGATTCTGAGATTCCTCAAAGGCTCTACGAGAAAAGGACTATTGTTCAAGAAAAATGAAAAGGAGGTAGAGATATTCGTTGATGTTGATTTGGCGGGATCAATAGAAGATAGAAGATCAACTACTAGCTATTGTACCTTTGTATGGGGAAATTTGGTAACCTAGAGAAGTAAGAAACATAAACAAAATGTAGTAGCCGAAGCAGAGTTTAAAGCAGTTGTTTAAGGAATATGTGAAGGATTGTGATTAAAGAAGCTTTTGGAAGAACTACAAATTACGATGAAACTCCTAGTCAAACTATTGTGATAAAAAAGCAGCTATCAACATCTCGCTCAAACAAGTCCAACATGATCGAACAAAACATGTTGAGGTGGATAGACACTTCATCAAGGAGAAAGTTGAAGACGGAACTATTTACATGACCTACATTCCTAACAATGAACAAACAGTAGATGTGTTCACCAAAGGGCCACATAGACAACATTTCGAGAATTTCATCTGCAAGTTGGATATGGTCAATATCTATGATCCAACTTGAGAGGGAGTATAGAAATCTTGAAATTAAGGGGGTTATTATGGAAGGGAATCATTATAGAATTATTGTAATTACTTGTATGGCATAATTGGTGATTAGTTAGGAAATATTTTTTCTTTGTTTGATTAGGAGATTACAATCCTCAACTCTGCGATCTTTTGTATTATAAATTGAGCCATGGTATTGTAAGAAAATCGTTGAGAAATATACAATTAGTTATTTCTCATTCTTTGTCTTTAATTGTTTACGGATTTTAGGTTCCGGATATGTGCTATATTACTACATTGATTGATCTCAATTTGGAAATACTGTTTGTGGAGTCACCCCGTTGCAAAGAGAAACTGCAGATTAAACTTAAATCAGATCCCACGATATCTGGAAAAGAGGAGATGGAATTACATTCTCAAAGGTGTGAACTTTATGTTCTTATTTGGTTAGTCTAGAAAGTCATGGATTATATACAATAATTGCCTCCTGGTATTATTATTGTTATTGTTATTGTTATTGTGTTTGTGTTTGTTTAAATTCAGAAAATTAAACATTAATGCATCAATGAAGTTTGTGTATTTATAAAACCTTAGATTTGATGTTCTTACTTTTTTCACACAAAATGGTTACATGAGGTGTATGTTGTACATAAGATGTTCAAAGCCGAAACTCTTCATTTTTTACTTAAAAGATACTAAAATTTTCGGACCCATGTCACCCTTTTCGCAAGACTGCTTCCATGATGTCATACACTCGAGTATGTTAAAGCATGCCTTCTTTTTATTCTTCACATGGTGATTTTGTTTGTCATGGTGGTTAACTATGCTCTTGTGATTATTAGTTTCCTTGCATCTGAAAACAACGCTGTCACTTTCAGACGACATAAAGATTTTTCTGTAGTCATTCTGTGTATTTTTCAGTTCTGTTGTACTCTAGAATTCCCATCCTTTTCTTCCAACTCTTTTCTGGCAATTAACATGTTTTGCTAATTTGTTTTTTAGATTCAAACACTTTCCATTGAATTTCTAAAAGCCATTCATTTCTACTGTTGCCACGGTTATTTAGTTGTTTAGATTCTACAAGTTAATGCCCACTCTCCGAATGTCAAATGATTTCATTTTCTTCCATTTTTGCCTTTATGATTTCCTTTCCTTGACCTTGACTCAAGTTTACCCGAGCTTCTCTCTCTCCACGCCCCATGTGGCATCCTACCACATAGTGCTCACGCCTTTTAAGTCAATGAGATTTGGCGCCTTAACAGAATTTATGAAAGAGCCCAAAGAAGTTGTGATAAGCTTGCCTGAAAAATGTGCTAATTTCTTTCGTATAATTCATTTTTTTGCTTACATTTGTCCATTCCAAAATTCAAACAAAAGGCAGTAAAAATGGAACCAAAGTGGTCACTGAAGATGTAATTTTTTTATTGATTAGATATGAAGTCCAGGCATCCAGTGATGAAGTCGACGATTGGTTTAGCAAAGCTGTTGGTCGGCATTGTACTCTTATAAGGAATACTGGTTCATGGTCTCATTCGTGCCCTATTAGGAACAAGAGTCCAGGGATCTGCAGAGATTTGGCCACTCGTTTAAATTTTGTGAATGAGGCTCAGTTTTTGTTGATATCTGAGGAAAGTGTTGCTGATCTGAACACCAGATTGAGATCTAGTACGTGCTGTGCACTTGCTTTTATATTTTAAACGTTCTTTGGCATATCCGTGAAGCATATTTCTTGTTATGAGAAAACAAGGTTCTCTATTATCAGGACTTCTGTATAGTTTTTTTGAATAAAGTTTAAGAAGATATATAGATTTCGGGCTAAAAAATGCCTAATTCGTTTTTTATTGTACTAGAATTGCAGAATGGCTCCCATGAACCTCCTACTGAAGTCACTCCAATGATATTTCGCCCTAACCTTGTAATGTCTGGTGGGAAGCCTTACATAGAAGACGGGTGGAGAAATCTGAAAATTGGAGACAAATATTTCAGTGTGAGTCTGGTTTTCTAAGACATTGAAAAGAATAACTAATCGAAGTACAAGACAGATTCTTTCAAATATCGACAAATGAATGAATGTGCATAGTGTTTTGAGGTTCTAGACAGTTTCTTGCTTCCGTTCTATTGAAACCGTAAATTTGTGTATCAGATGTGAGCTTGAGTACTTCTGTGCATGAATTCCACTCTTCATCTTCACATGCTTTTGCTTTTGCAGTCATTGGGTGGTTGCAATCGCTGCCAGATGATCAACATGAACTCTAACTCTGGGGTGGTGCATAGATCAAACGAACCATTAGCTACTTTAGCATCTTACAGAAGAGTGAAGGTCAGCCAACTACCTTACATACCAATATTTTCCCACTCAACTATTCACCGTTTTGACTTCTGCAATTTTGTGGGAACAGGGGAAAATATGTTTCGGCATACTATTAAGATACGAGGATAGTACTGAACACGGTGCATGGCTTCATGTGGGACAAGAAATATATGGAAATGTCGATTAGCTGTGCTTGTTGATTGATATCATACTTATGGTATTTAGGATTTGATATGGCTTACTACATATATATAGATTTACACTTGTGATGCAATGGCTGAAACGCTTCTGTACTATCACTGCTGCACCGGGGAATAAGGAAAGGAAAAAAAAAACATATAAATGTCCGATTTCTGTATAGTACTTTGATATCTGTATTTTTTCCACGATGAATTTGGATTATCCATCACGTTTTAATGAAAAGGGTTCGACTGGGATAAGGATGGCAACGGGGCGGGGTCGAGACAACCTCCCCTGCCCCGCCAAGCAATTCCCCAACCCCCGCCTCGTTACTCATTTAAGACAAAGCTAGGTCCTTGCCCCGTTTAATTTTTTTTTTTTGTTTCAAGTTTTTGATAATTTATTTTTATTTTCTAAATTCATTAGATTTAGACAAATTATTTTAGTTGTCATTTTTTATTAGAATTAAAGAAATTTTGTGAAATTTTTCATTTAAAGTATTGAATTCAAAAAAAAAAAAAAAAAAAATTAAACTGGGCAAGGCGCCCGTTACCTGTCCCCTCCACGGGGCAAAATTTCCCGCCTCGTTTCTGCTTCGAATATTTGATTGAGTGGGTTATCCCTGCTCTGTTCGGGGCGGGGTCTCGTGAATATCGAGTTTGTCGAGTTTTTTTTTATCTCTATACTGGGATGAGGACTAAGGGGTTGTTGCCTCAGGCCCACAATCTCTGAAGATCCAAAATATGTTAATTTTGTTTGTTGATTTTGAGTTTATAGATTTCGTTATGAATAAGAATGCACACTGCGATTGGAGGGGCTCAACTTTTAGACTTCTATTATGAAAAATATTAGGTCGGGGGTTTATTTTGAGCTTTTAATAAAATGATTTTTCGTTCAACTAGTTTTCTTACTTTTGAACGTTTTGTACAAGTCAAAGACACATTTATTACTGAAAATACCCTTAGATTCTTCTATTTATTAAAAGGGACCACAATTGAATTATTAAGCATGTACTTAGTCCTGTTTGATGACCATTATTTTAAAAAAATAATGTTTTGAACAGTGATTTTTTAAAGAATGTGTAATTAAAAAGTAAGAAAAAATTTTGAATTTAAGTGTAACATATTTTATTATGTGAATGTGTGGTTAAAAACGAGTATAAAAATTGAATACTTTTATTTTAAAGGGAATCAAATGGGGACTTCGATAAAGTAACATGACTTGTAGCCACGACGAAAAAATGGTCACAACTGCACATGTATAAAAATGAAAGAGTAATGTTATTTAGCTCCAATATGATTGCAACCACAATCTACATGGTGTCTATGTGGCATTAAATGATAAGTGTAATTAAATTACTTATTTTATGTAAAAATTTCTTTGAGATATATAGAGTAAAAATACTTATTTGTTTCATGTAATTTTAAATAAGATTGTACACGTTTTGATAGGGATTAAAATCTAAATTTTAATCTAAATCTGATTCAACAATTAATTTTAACAATATATTTAATGGGATCCATAACTTTTCAACTATACATTTCATCAATTTTTATCAAAATCTACTAAAATTTTGATTTTAATATCCACCGAACAAGGGCATATTTTATCCAGCGTTTCAAAGCATGCTAATAGAACTTTTGATCAAAAATAATAAATAAGATTTACTAATTAATACAATAAATATGAAAATAAACAAAAATTAAGAATCTTTAATTTAATTAAAATATAATATATATTTATAAGAACGTAGTGTGATTACAACCAGTACTCTTCCGGGTATCACTTGTGAACAGAACAAGATTCTCCATAGAATGATAGATTCACACTCCAAAAGTTGATCATTGGCTCAAAGTTCATTAGAAAACAGATATTCTCAATTTTTTTTTTTTTGTAAATGTCAATTTCTTTCGTGGATAAATAAAAAATATTAACAAATTGTCGACGTTTTTTAATGGTAGAATTAAGGATGTGTAGTTTTTGCATTTATATTTCCTACATTTTGATTATTCTCAAATAAATTGAGTTAAATTAAATTAATGTTGGATCCAGTCTCAATGGTAAAATTAGGAGATTGGAACCCTATAATAAGGTGATCCATGCTATTGCTAGAATGTTAACTAAGTTTTACATTATTGATGCAATCAGGGCGGACAAGGGGGTTCACGTGATCCCCCAACTTTTGAGATTTTTTTTTATAAAGTCATGTTTGGTATTGATTGAAATTTAATTTTTTATCTAAATCTAAATCAAAATTAACAATT